TCCTCTCCTCCTCCTCCACCATCATTCCTTCTCCTCCTCCTGTCCTTTTCTCCTTTTCATCTTCCTTCTCCTCCTCTCCTCCTCCTCCACCATCATTCCTCCTCCTCCTCTCTCCTTTTCATCTTCCTTCTCCTCCTTCTCTATCTCCTTCTTTCTTCTCCTTCCTCCTCCTTTTCATTTTCCTTCTCCTCCTTTTCTATCTCCTTCCTCCTCCTCCTCCTCCTCCTCCTCCCTTCTCCTCCACCATCATTCCTCCTCCTCCTCTCTCCTTTTCATCTTCCTTCTCCTCCTTCTCTATCTCCTCCTTCTTCTTCTTCCTCCTCCTCCTCCTCCTCCTCCTCCTCCTCCTTCCTCCTCCTCCTCCTCCTCACCATCACCATTTCTCCTCCTCCACCCCCAGTTCTCCCTTCTCCCTGGGTGTGTGTGTGTGTGGCTGGCATTGCAGGGGACCCCAAGTCGGCTGGTGATGTTTGCTCTCCACGGAGCCCAGAAGGGAAACGAAGGGAACTCTGCGCTCACTCCGCCTCCCTCTCCCTTTTTGTCTCCTCTGCAGGATGAGGCCCCACCATGTCGTCCTGGTCGCTCTCTGCCTCCGGGCGCCCGGCCTGCTGCTCAGCACCTCCGGTGAGTGAGCCCCCCGAGTGGTACTACCGGCCTAGAGTCGGTAGTACAGGTAGGCTGTACAGGTAGCCCTCCACTTAACAACAGCTCATTTAGTGACCGTTCGAAGTGACGACGGCACTGGGGGAAAAAAGGGACCGACGACCGTTTTTCACACTTACGACCGTTGCAGCATTCCACGTGATCACGTGATCAAAATTCAGACGTGTGGCAACTGACTCATCGTTATGACGGTCGCAGAGTCTCCTGGGGTCCCACGATCCACTTTTGCGACCTTCCGACAAGCAAAGTCAAGGGGGAAGTCAGATTCGCTTAACGACCGTGTGACTAGCTTAACAACTGCAGCAGTTTGCTTAAAAACCGTGGCATGAAAAGTCGTAAAACGGGGCAAAACTCACTCAACGAATGTTTCACTTAGCAACCTAAATTTTGGACTCAGTTACAGTCGTACAGTCGAGGACTACCTCATTCAATTTTAATGATGATGATGATGATGATGATGGTGTTGCTGCTTCAAGGGTAGGACCAAGAGCAATTGGGTGCAATCCCAAAATAACCAGAACACCACTTGGACACCATCCTTGGTTGTTAAGTTAATCATTGCGGTCATTAAGTGAATTATGCGGTCGTTAAACGAATCCTGCTTCCCCTTTTTGACTTTGCTTGTTGGAAGCCAGCTCGGAAGCTCACAAAAGGTGACCACGTGCTGGTGGCCAAGCGCCCACATTTAGCTCACGTGGCCATGGGGATGCTGCCACGGTCGTAAGTGCGAGGACTAGGTGTTAGTCACTTTTCCCAGGACTCTCGTAATAGTCATTAAAGGGATGGTGGTAACTCAAGGACTGTGTGTAGTTTTGCCAGTTTTGAGCCAGAAAGCGGAAAAATCACCTGGTTTCCCACTTAGCGACTGCTTTGCTGATTGTGGTCGCTAAGCAAGGACTGCCTGTATTGAGAGGATGCTGCCTCTCACAAACTCCGCCCAAATTGCTCTCAATCCACTTTTTCATCCTGGGAAAAGCTTTGGGGGTTGCGGAGAAGAAATCTGTCGGAGAGTGATGCATAGAATCAAGATCACGAGAAGTATTAGTACCGCTTTATAAAGCCCTAGTGAGGCCACACCTGGAATCCTGCAGCCAATTTTGGTCACCATATCTACAAAAAAGATGTTGAGAGTTTGGGAAAAAATTCAGAGAAGAACAACTAAGATGATCCAAGGCCTGGAGACCAAAACATACGAAGAACGGCTGCGGGACTTGGGTCTGGCTAGTCTAAAGAAAAGAAGAAATAGGGGAGACATGATAGCACTTATTCCAGTATTTGAGGGGCTGCCACAAAGAAGAGGGGGTCAAATTATTCTCCAAAGCACCAAAAGACAAGACAAGAAACAATGGTTGGAAGCTGATCAAGGAGAGAAGCAACCTGGAATTAAGGAGAAACTTCCTGACAGTGAGGACAATCAACCAGTGGAACAGCTTGCCACCAGAAATCAACCAGTGGAACAGCTTGCCACCAGAAATCACTGGAGATTTTTAAAAAGAGACTGGACATTCACCTGTCTGAGACGGTGTAGGTTCTCCTGCTTGAGCAGGGGGCTGGACTAGAAGACCTCTAAGGTCCCTTCCAGCTGTATTCCTATTCTATTCTATTCCTATTCTATTCTATTCCTTATTCTATTCTATTCTATATTTTCTATTCTATTCTATTCTATTCTATTCTATTCTATTCTATTCTATTCTATTCTATTCTATTCATTCCATATTCTATTCTGTTCTGTTCTGTTCTGTTCTGTTCTATTTCTAGTCTATTCTAGTTCCATTATCTGCAGGGAGACCACAAGGTCTTCATCCCAATTTTGATTAAAGCCACTTTTCCTGGAAAAGCCGCCCCTGCCAACGACGGTCTTCTTTCTTGCTCAAAACTGCCTCTCTGCTTCCAGGAACTTCTGCATCTGCCGAAGTGAGC